GACGCGTGGCGGATGGAGAGAGGTTTGAGCTTTGAGGAGACAGAGATGGAACGTGGCATGAAATGAGGGGGCAAAGACTGTTATGTGGTTTTGTAGTAGGCTTAGGGAGTAAAGGTGCAAATAAGGATTTTAATTTTGTATTTTTATTTATTTAAGGAGGTTAATTTTGGTAGTTTTTAAATAAGGATGTTAATTTTTTATTTTTTTTTAAATAAGGATGTTAACTTTGTTAATTTCTAAATAAGGATGTCAATTTTTAACTTTTTTCTATTTAAAGATGTCAACTTTCAACTTTTTCTATTTAAGAATTAATTGAATAGTGATGCTGACGGGGTATTATATTTTTTAGGTTAAATACTTGAATTGGTTCTTCAACTTTTATTTTTGAACCAATTCATCCTTGAACTTCAGAAAGTACCAAAAATGTCCTTCAACTTCAATTTTCAATAAATAAAATTATTTTCTAATTCATGGAAGAATTAATTAAATTTTATTTAACTTTATTAAATGGTAGGTGGGACTAATTAAATGGGAAAATATATTAATGGTTTTAATTTTTAAATATAAATAAAGTAAAATTAAGAATTAAAGTAGTTTGTAAATTATTTAAAATTAAAAAAAAATCCACATAATTATCTTTTACATGATGGATTTTCCACCTAATATTGAAAATATAAAATAGTCAATTACTTAGCGAAAAAATTAGCTACATCAACATTTAATTGACGGAAAGACGAAATTGAAAATTGAAGTTGAAGGACGTTTTTGGTACTTTCTGAAGTTCAAGGATGAATTGGTTCAAAAATAAAATTTGAGGGACCAATTCAAATATTTAACCTAAAAAAATATATTAGCCACATCAGCATCACTATTCAATTAATCCTTAAATAGAAAAAGTTAAAAGTTGACATCCTTAAATAAAAAAAGTTGAAAGTTGAAAGTTGACATCCTTAAATAGAAAAAAGTTGAAAGTTAACATCGTTATTTAGAAACTGATAAAGTTAACATCCTTATTTAGAAAAAAATTGAAAGTTGACATCCTTATTTAGAAACTATCAAAGTTAACAACCTTAAATAGAAAAAAGTGCAAAGTTGAAATCCTTATTTGCACCTTTACTCAGGCTTAGGGTAAGGGGATAAGAGATACCAATACCACACAATGTTTCAGATTCGTCACACCGTGTGGGCGGCAAAGATTCGCCGTCTGACGGCATTGTTCGAGTTACTAGAACAAAAATGATTGCATACAGTGGCGGAGCCACCTGGAGATCAGGGGGGCGGTGGCCCCCCTGGGATTTGGAAAAAAAAAATTTATTAATTATTATTATTAAAATTATAAATATTATATTTTTAATTATTAAAATACATAAAATAAAAAAATTCCAATAATAATGGGTTATTTTAAGAGTCCAAATATAATTTATAAAATCAATTATTCATTTTAATAATTTAACTACTTATTATTATTTAAAATCCACACATCCCAAGCTCACAACTGAAGTTTGTAGAAAAAGAAAAAAAAATCAATTCTTGTGCCTTATGTGTTATTTCTCTAGTATCTAATCCCATTGTTCCGGTGTTAATCTCCTTCAACTAATCAACTTCAAAAAAGTAAAAAAAAGAGACTCCGGCAGCGGCTTGATGCAAGCCACTGCAACACTGCTTTCCTCATTGAAAACTTGAAGACAAATTAAGGAACCACTAAAGGGATTACTAACTTCTTGGTAAAGATTAAAAACAACACTATCTCTTTTTATATGAGTCATATATTGTTATATTGGGTTTCAACTTTAAAGTTTTGTAAGTATTTTTTTATTTTATTTTAAAATTTTGTTTTATATTTGTTAGCAGATATGTTCTAACAAAAAAATTAGTATACTCTGTCTATTCCAGAATAATTGATATTTTTTATTTAGAATTTATCTCAAAATAATAGTCTTTTTTTTTTTTGCTTAAGTATTGGAAAAGGACCCCAACTTTTACTAAATTCTCAATTGAGGTCCTCAACATTTATTACGCTTAATGAAGGTCTCAAATTCATGCAAACTCTCAAATAAGGACTCAATTGGATGGAATCCTAACCATCTGTTAAGTCTAACATGACCCATTATAATCCGTTATAGGCCTCAACATGTGGCATGCCGATTGGACCCATAATGCTGACAGTAAAAAAATTGTCCAACATGGCATGTTGTGGCAGATCTTTTAGACAAGGTGGATCCCACAAGACTCCTTTTACTTTTCCATCTTTGACTATTTAATACTTATTTAATATAAAAACCCTAAAACTTTCTTTTGTAATTAGGTCAATAGAAAACAACTTTTGAGAATTTTAAAAAGTTTTTGAGGCTTTCACTAGTTGGTGGGATCTTTTAAACAACTTTCTTTTGTATTTTTGTATGAATTCAACAACATACAAGTACAATTATATGGTTTTATTTGAGTTTTTCAATAATTTTAATATATTTATTAATTTTTGAATTTATTTTTTTATTTAAACTTTTGGTCTCAATTGCACCTAATTTTTTTAATTTTATTTGGTCAATTTATTTAATTTATTACTTTTTTTTTATTTTTAATCACTTATATATTTTTTTATTGTATCTCATTAAATTTGGGGTGTTGATAGTGTTAAAACCTTTCCGTCTTTAATTAACCTTTTTCTTAATTATTTTTACATTTTGTTTAAATGTTTATATATGTGTTTCCTATTATTTTTACAGCATGTGCACTGTTCTTGACCTTGACCTCAATTTTTAGGATTTTCAATTTCCTTTCTTTGCAGTAATCAAACGTGAAATGGGACTAGTGATTGGCCGTTGGATGGGCTGGTGTTAGTGGCAAGGAAGGCTAATAGGAAATCAATAGCACCAAACAAGAGAAGAAGAAGATCAAGATCGAAGTAATGGGGAAGGAATTGGCAGTGAAAATTCTAGGAATTTCAGCCCCCAATTTGTGGAATGGGACTAAAGATTGCTTGGGAAACTTCTAGGGAATGGGTGAGCTGCTGTTGCGCAGAGAAGAAGAAGATCTTGCACCGCCGATAGTTGAGTGGAGAACAAGAAGATCCTGCACACACAGAGGCTGGCTACTAAGCGAAGAAGAAGAAGCAAATCTTGATCGAGAAGGGCCGACTGTTGGGTGGAGAACAAGAAGAACTTGCACGGAGAGAGGCCGGCTACTCGACGAAGAAGAAGAAGAAGCAGATCTTGCGTGGAGAAAGGCTGGCTGCTCGGCGAAGAAGAAGAAGCAGATCTTGCGTGGAGAAAGGTCGGCTGCTCAGTGAAGAAGAAGAAGCATATCTTGCATGGAGAAAGGCCAGCTGTTGGGCGGAGAACAAGAAGAACTTGCACGGAGAGAGGCCGGCCGTTGGGTAGAGAAGTTGTAGGGACGGGGTGGGCTGCTGTTGGGTGGAGAAGAAGACCCTGCACAGAAAAGAAGCAAACTGAAAATTCTAGGGATTTTGCCCCCAAATCGTGGAGTGGGAAGGAAGAGAAGAGATGGCAGAAAATTGAGAGATGTGGGTTACAACATGGCACGTCTGAGAATACTTTTTATTATCTGGTTGGCATGCCACGTATTGAGGGGTAACGGATTATAACGGGAGTCATGTTAGACTTAACGGATGTTTAGGATTCCATCCAATTGGGTACTTATTCGAGAGTTTGCATGAGTTTGAGACCTTGATTGAGCATAATAAATGTTGAGGACCTCAATTAAGAATTTAGTAAAAATTGAGGTCCTTTTCCAATACTTAAGCCTTTTTTTTTTTAGGAAGATAAATAGTTTTTTTCTATTTTAACCATATAATTATCTCTTAACTTTAATTATTTATTTTTTAATGGAAGTAGATATTTATTCTTAGTTATTTTTTAAGTATAAAATAGGTAAAAAAAAAATTGTTTTCAAATCTTTCATTTGAAGATAAAACAAAAAAATCTATTATTTCAGTATAGAGGGAGTGATATTTAAGTAAAAAAATTTATTGATTTTTTATTATCACAAAAAAATTGTAAAATTTTCTTTTAGGATTTAGAATTGTTGAGATTACAAATAAAATTGAATATTTTGGTAATATTGAAGTTATATGGAATAGAATTGGATCAGAGTAAAAAACTTGAAAAAAAAAAAGAAAGTACAAATCCATAAAGGGAATATACATGAATTTAATAAAAGGAAAAACCTTGGATATAGTCATATAGAGAAAAACAATAGGAACATAAATTAGTATAAAAGAAAGATAAACTCATATAAAGTGTAATTAGCTTGAAAAAAGGAAAAAAAAATTTGTTTGCTTGTAGAAAGTCGTAGGGTAAAGAGATAGAATGTTGTTGTATTTCTAAATTATGTCAATGGCTTATGGAGACAAGAAAATTAGAGGTTTATAGTCTCATTTACAAATTAATTACTTTGATACTTACTCTTTCAGTTTCTATAGCAATAACAAAAAAAGTATTTTCTACCATGAAAATTATGAAAACGAGACTTCGCAGCAAAATGAAGGATAATCTCTCTCAAACTCTTTGATTGTTTATATTAAAAAGGAAATAGTTCAATCATTTAGTGTAGATAATATTATAAATAGATTTTATGACATGAAAACTTGTCAAGTATTATTTTAATATATGATATAAAAGTAAGTTTTCAAAATTATAATACATGGCCCCCCTGACTAAAATTCTTGGCTTAGTGCCTGATTGTATATATACCGACTTATTGATCCAAGTAGAAGGAACTTGATTTCTTTTGAATAAGATCTTGAAATTGAATTTTGTGAATGAGATAATAGGCACTGGGAGCGTTTCCCCATATGAGGTCGGACTCGGTTTGACTCCGAATTAATCAAGATTTAATATGATTTTTAGATAGCAAGATGTTAGTAAAATAAAAAAAGAAAATGAATGTATATACATCATATAATTATATAATTGGGTTCTCTTAATTTGTGTTTTTAATAATAGTTTTTTAGTATTAAATATCATTAAAAAAATAAAAATTTAATATTTATTTAATTAATCAATCAATTAAAACAATACGTAACATTAATAATAAAATTAATTTCAACTTTTGTTACTTTTTTTATTTTTTTAGGGGTACTTTTTATACAAATTAATATAAAAATATATATTAATTACATTCTTAATTTGTATCTTAAATATAAAAATTAGATAAATCTTATATAATTATATAGTATTGTAAAGGATCCCATGT